GGTTTTAACTCACGAAAGCTTATGCCCAAATAAATCTGTTAGTCTTTAAGGTGCCACCAGACTCCTTGTTGTTTTTATAAAAGTGAGGTGTCTTGCAGAGGACCCCGGGTCTCGTCTTGTCAACATGGGAGCATCGATCCGGATCGGATCGGCAGAAGCCCGGCTCCACCCCCTCCCCCATCTAACTCACCTGGCCAGTGAAGTTAAGGGGAGCAACTAATTGGTAACAACAAGACGGAGTGTGTTTGTGTGTGTGTGTGAGTGTAAGTGTAATATATTATATGCATATAATACAGTGTTAATGAATACATGTATTGCTAATAAATGTGTCAAGTATCAGGGGGTAGCCGTGTTAGTCTGTATCTACAAAAACAACAAGGAGTCTGGTGGCACCTTAAAGACTAACAGATTTATTTGGGCATAAGCTTTCGTGAGTTAAAACCTCACTTCTTCAGATGCATAATAAATGTGGCGTTTTGTCTTATTCCCCCTAAAAAGATCCTGTACAGTACTTTAAGTACAACATTTTTAGTAGGGGAGCCCCAGTGTTTAGTACACTATTGGCTCAAAGTGAATTCAGCTCAGCAACCTGTAACTCGACTTCTAATAGAATCAAAGTTAGCTCTGACATTCAGCAGTGGAGAGAGAAGATAGTGCAATTGGTGTTTCAAACCCCCAGAGGGGACCCATACCCTCAGATACAAATACCTGTCCCCATCCTCTCTTTCAATTCACTGGGTTTTGTAACCCATGCCCCTTGTCAAGGGAGTGCTACCTTGGTAATGGTGAAGGACTCACTCAGTCCTTCTGTCATACAACAGTTCCACTGGCCTTGATTCACAGAATCAGGGTAACAAAACTTTATTCTTCCTGCCCCAATAACAGAGAAAACTGGGGATCCCACACCAGCCAAAGTAACCACTTTGAGTTGCTGTTGTTTCATGCCAGGCGAGTGGGTGTGCCTATGCAAACAAGATCAGCCCGTGGAGTTCTTTTCCACACTCGCCATAATTCACCACCAGATGTCAGGGTAGAGCTCATCCTGACTCTGCTTACAAACATGATTCCAATTCCCCCCTTTTATTTCCTAATTGACTGCAGACTATGTAGTAAAACTTGAGTTCTGCTTAGCTATACCTTAACCAATCATTTTACTGAAATTTAACTAACCATTCCTAACATATTGTAACAAGATTATCTAACCAATTATCTCCCACCACCTTAATTGGTTTACACCCAACAAAATTAATTATACAGCAGACAGAAACAATCACAGAACCAGACAGAGATTATACAGACAAACAATAGGGAAATGGAGACTACAGTGATAGAACAACAAAGAAATGAGGATTTCACACCCCAGCTATTGATAAGTGAGTTCTTGCCAGACAGGATGCTATCAAAATAAGTTTTCTTTAAATCTTCTAGGCTCTTCCCTTTCTCTGGAGGTGATAGATTGGATCACCTTTTTAACAGCCCAAAACAGCCTTATTTCAGTGTGAGTGGTGAGGACCGTGACCCTTCTCTTCCCAGTTTATGGTTGCCTCTGCTGCTTAGTTAAAGACCTTAGCCTAAGAACAAGGCCTTAGACTATCATAGTGAGAGAAGGCCTATAAACAGGCAGACTGATTTTGATTCTTGTTTTGTACTTCTATAACTAGCTAAGTGATAAGAATACACCTAAACTCTTAAAGTATAGGCCTTTGCAGACAGGCCTGAATATCTATAGCCACTAAGGCCATTAGGGCATCTAGTCTGACCTTTTTAAGACAGACCAGGGAATTTCACCCAGCTACTGCCCATAGCTTCTGCTTGAGCTACGGCCTAGCTTTTTGAAAGAGACACCACCTCCTGATGGAAAGATTTCATCTGAGGAAGAATCCACCACAGCCCTTGGGAAGGTGTTTTACCCTCACTGTAAATAAGTTGCCACTTTCTCCCAATCTGAGTTTATCTAGCTTCAACTTCCTGCTCTTGGCTCTCATTTTACCTGTGTCTGATAGAATGAAGAGCCCTCTTCTCTCAGAAATCATCTCCCCATGGAGGTACTGGTAGCCCATAATCAAGTGGTTTCTTAACCTTCTCTTTGATCAGCTAAAGAGATTGAGCTGAATTTCTCTCACTCACTCACAGGCAGGATTGCCAGACCTCAAATCAGTCTCGCGACTCTTCTCCGAACCCTTTCAGCATCCTTGTAGAAGTGTGGGCTCCAGAAGGGACACAGTGTCTGGTAATGGTCTCACTGATGCAGTACACATGGTGTATGGCAACCCTGCAATGGCAGAGCAGGGGAGTTCAGACCACCTGTGGATCTCACTCCTCTGGAATGAAGTGGAGCATCTCCTCACTGTTCCCAGTCACCCAAAACCACCCAGAGTATCATCCAAGGTCTGGGGCTCTGCAAGTCCCAGGCCACATTCCATGCCCTCCTGGGTGCAGTGTGCCCCATGCAGAGCTGCTCCTACTGGCCTGGGCCCAGGCACAGGGTTCTGCAGGGACTCTCTCTGCTGACAGCTGCAGGCATAGGCAGCAGTTGGAAGGAGCCTGTGGCCGTGTTTAAAAATCTTTCTGCGGCTGGGAGGTTAAGTGACATGCTGAAGGGTACCCAGAGGATCAGCCCAGCTCTCCTGAACCCCAAAGCTCTAACCACTAGGGAAGGCTTTCCCTCCACCCCTAATGATCTGATTCTGGTGTCCAGAGGCAGGACTTGGGCATGCTCTTCTGATGCAGCCATGTTTGTATCTTGTGACGCTCTTTGGGGCAGGGATTGACTGTTTGTGGCCTGTTTGTACATTGCCTAGCCCAATGGGGTCCTTGTCCATGACTAGGGCTTGTAGGTGCTATGATAATACAAATAATAAATGATAGAATAATTCCTGCCAGCTGAGAACAAGAGTATGGGACATTCCTTTTCCAATCTGTGCCTTGAGTTTTCGCCTCCCTCGGCCCATCCAGGAGACTCAAAATATTAGGCTGGTTGTGAATTTAATTGTCTTATATACAATTTAAGTACATTAAACCAATTAGTGTTGTCTCTTTGGTCCGAGGGGGTTCACAATATCTGGGGCCTTGCAGGGTTGTTCGCGTTAGGCTGAGGACTGGCTGCTACAAGTCAGGGCTATTCCTGGTGTCACAGAGTGGCCACACACTCCAGTGTCCCTGAACACAACAGCAGGCAGTTTCCTTGCAAATCCTCACATCTGCCTCTCCAACGAGCTCTGCGCCCAAAATGCCCTGTGCCTCTGCTGCCTCTCAGGGTCATGCTGACAACTCCTTCTCCAGGCTTTCTGTCCCCAGCACACATCGCCTGCAACAGAGAGCCTAGCCCCTGCATCTGCACCCAGGGAAACCCCTGTTAATCTATCTCTGTTATTTCTGGCCTGGCCACGTGGCTCAGTGTCTTGCGCAGGCACCCTCATTGGCTGCGGCTGGTTTTACTACATAGACAGGCTTGGTTGCTCCATTTGCGGAACATAATGAGGTCTGTGATTGTCTTTGGGTCTGAGACCCACCTGATAGCAGTTGCTAGCATCTTCCAGCATAACAATATCCCTCTGAAAGGCCTTGGAGCATGGG